AGGATGCAAAAAGGCGCGCTGATTTCGTGATCGATCGACAGAGGACGCGCGCGAGATGACGGGGATTTGGGGTATAAGATTTGGGCGGAGGATGGTGTTTTGTTTGATTTGGGCGAAGAGGTTTTCCGAGTTGCTGTGAGGATGGTGTATGACGGGAATTCGAGGTATAAGATTTGAGCGGAGGATGGTGGTTTGTTTGATTTGGGCGGAGAGGTTTTCCGAGTTGCTGTGAAGTTGGTGTATGACGGGAATTCGAGGTATAAGATTTGAGCGGAGGATGGTGGTTTTCCGAGTTGCTGTGAGGATGGTGTATGACGGGAATTCGAGGTATAAGATTTGAAAGAAGGATGGTGTTTTGTTTGATTTGGGCGGAGAGGTTTTCCGAGTTGCTGTGGATGATGGGATTAGTCACATTAACTATTAATATTAATAAATTAATAATTAATGGCAATTTACAATTTTTAGTAAAAATTTACAAATTTGCCATTTAAATTATGTCAAAGTAAGGGTTTTTTAGGCAGATCATTATTTTTACAAAATCACTCGTCCTTTTATAATAGTATAGATATAGATAGATAGATATAGATAGATAGATATAGATAGATAGATAGATAGATAGATGGTGAACATATTTTTATTAAATGAACTCATATTATTATTAATTGCTGGTTGAATAAAACTAGTATAGAGTCCGTGCGATGCACGGGGTGCATAATTTTAAAGCTATTTATCCAGACTTATAATTATATACATGAATACAGAAAAATGTACGGGATATATATAGTACGTGACCCCTGCGAGACACGGGATATATTTATTTGAGGAATACTATATTACAAGATGCAATATTCAATAAAAGTTTTATAATACGCAGGAAAATTATACAATAAGATAGTATTCGACAAACAAACAATCATATATTATTAAAGACCACCTTGTACACAACATTATGAGTTTGATTTTCCATACAATAATAATAAGATTTTTTGTAAAAAGATAAGAAGGAATTTTCAATCTACACAAACTTTAAACATTAGATGTATTTACGTAAATCAATGACTATATAGACAACTAAACCCTTCAATTTAGGTTTGACATCTACTTTTTTATGGGTGACGTAAAATAAGGATTTAATTTTGACCGATTAAATCTTTATTCATAGGCTTGACATATAAAACTGATTTGATGGGATTTTCTTAACTAAACCGATGCTATGGGATAAAACAAATCTATACTTACCTTTGACTTTTCCAGCAAAGGTAAAAAAATCGGTTTTGATTTTTATCCCATAACAAATCTTTAATGTCAAGCCTATAAATACCAAAACAAATCAGTTTCCAGAAGCATTAATTACCTTTGACTTTTCTGCCTACTATTTCTAATAAATAGGATGACTTTTTATATAAGTATAGATTTCATATAATGCAAAGACTGAGATCATAAAAAAGAATCCTAAAAACTGAAACAATATATTTGCATAATTTAAGGTCATTAAGAAAACCAGATTTGATTTTCAGAATATGTTTTTTCATTTCGAATACCATACAAAATGGAATTCTTTCCAACCAATAGATATCATAGCAAATATTAACTCTTAACTATTAGACTATTAGTACATACTGAGCAAAATTGTGTACTGATTTTAGAAAGTTAAAATGATTCATGTTAGGTAATTTTACATTTTATGCATGTTGAACGGTGGGTTTTAAATATTGTTTTATAGAATGTAAAAGTGTATTATATTATTTTTATGAGATGATGAATTTGAAAATTAATAGAATTATTCTTCATAGGAATTTTAAATGTAACAATATTCTTTGGTATACACTACTAATAAAATCTATATTTAAAGTTTATATTTTTTTTTACCGGAAAAAATTCCTTAATTTAAGGAATCATATATCTTCAATCAGTCCACATCTATATACATTTTTCACAATTTTAAATCTTGAATTTGATGAGAATTCGTATCTATGAGTGCAAAATATGGTTTAACAAATTAATTTTTTATTATTATTCCAGCCATACTTCTTTATACGATTTTTTGTGAAAATACAAAAGTAAATTCTTAATTTTAAATCAGTCGTACATTAAAGAGTACAAATTTGTTGAAATTACAAAAGTAGTTTTTTACTTTTAAACAGACGTAATTTAAATCAGTCATAAAAAAGTAATATTTGTTTACCATTTAAATATTAAATCAGCCGTAATTAATATTGTTTGTTTTAGTTGCTACGATTTTCTCCAAACTAAATTAACAACTGTCATGATTTAAGGGCAACATTTAATGCTGCTCTATTTTTAGGAGACATTAAATCTATTTGGCGGGAAAAACTTACTAAAAATGTTAAATGGTTAATCTTTTAATATAATGATAGATTTATTGAAACTTGCCAGCAATTATATATATATATAGATAGATATAGATATAAATATAAATATATACATACAATGTAATAAGTACTCCATATATTAATTTCGTTAGGTAGATTACTAGTTATAATCTCAGTAATTTGAGGCGTTGAGCAAGGAGGACATTTGCCGTTGCGATTCAAAACTTTATTGTTCATTAATTTCTTTTTGTTTGCGAACAACTTAATTTCGTTAGGTAGATTACTAGTTATAATCTCAGTAATTGCGAAGATTAAAATAACAAGATATATAACACTCTGAAACGTGATGGCCTTTTTTGTTGGATTTAGTGCAAGTAGCCAAATACACGAATTAACAAAACTTTAATTACCACACTTTAACAAAAGTACAAAACTGCTAATCACAGACCTGAGAATAGAACTTTTACCAATCTAAGAACTATTCATTACAATGTTATTAGCGTGCACGTACGAGTCATTCGTGCAAGTTGTTTTAACCTTCGAATATAATAAGTTGATGCGCAATTTCTTCTCCACAGGCCTTCCAATGATCTCAAACCGATTTAGGGCATGCTTGTTTATAAATTATTTCATTCTCATTCAATTCATACTCAAAATCTAACTCAACTTTAACTCAATCTACTATCTATAATATTATACAAACAAATCATTCTTACACATCACATCAACTTTAATTCACTATTTATCCACTCACATAATTTTAACTACCTATCATTTTCAATCATTTATCTCCTACTTTTACATCAAATCAATTTTAATCATTTTATTTTAAATATTATTTTAATACACTCCTAAAATTTCACTAACAACTAACCATATCACCTTTTTCAAAATTAACTATGGTTAACCAAAATAACTCATTTTGAAACAAATTATTCCATAAACAAGCGCCCCCTTAACTTTCGGAATATCCAGTAAAACATGCTAGAAATGTTTATGCCGGTAGACTTCTGACGATTAAGTCAGTTTTCAGAATATGAAAGATGATAAAATATGTAAGAGCATTCAGGGACGGATTTAGGTCATAAAGTGAGTGGGGCACATATATAATACATGATAAAAAAAATATACATTTATGGTTATTCTAATGAATTTTCATATGTTGACATGGCTCTATAATATCATCGTTGGATTTTATATTACATTTTCTTTCGGCCCAACAATATTAGAACTCAGCGGAAATACATTTGGATTGAAACTAACTCGTGTTGAGATATTTTCACATGTACTTTTCTGTCAAGACATTTTTTTTTAAAAAAAAAAATCCATAATCTAATATAAAAAATAAATTATTATTAATGTATAAAATACTTTATATCACATATCAAACTTTCAAGAACCCTACAATTTATGCTATCAATCACACACGTATTAAATGTAAGATACTAATTTTTTTGGACAATTAAAACTAATTAATTAACTACAAGAATGGCGCCGCTTGACCGGAGAATTTTTCCAGCATGGCGCCGCCTTGCAGGGGATATGGGTACGCCCGATCGAACGCCAACACCTTCTCCATCATCTCCTCGACGTCGTCAGCCGTCGGATTTTCGATTGAGACAATGGTCCGAGCTGCTCGAATAGCCAGGCCACGTTCCTCTTACGGTGGCATCATCGGTGGATCGCTGGAGAGATCGAGCAGGCGGAGGAGGATGAAACATCATAGAAGAGCTTATCGGCGGAGAGGAGATTGGGTTGCGAAAATTGATCGGATTCCAGAGGGCGGGGAAATGGAATCACATCCTTGGAATTCCGGTGGTTTGGAGCTCATGCATGCACAACAATCCCATCCAAAACATGGATTGGCGAAGACGACGACGAGGAGAATGATGATGCAAAGGGCGGCAGTGGCTTAGGCACCGGCGGACGATGGCTAGTAGGAAATGGATCCGATTTAATTTTTGGGCTTTCATTAAAATTTAGACAAATCTCAAGGACTTATATGCAATTTTGGAAATTTTTATTTATATTGCAATTTAGTTCATGAGTTAAATATGTAATTTATCAAAAATTTAATAAATACACACTATTGATAAGTAAAGTGCACAATATTGTGTATAAATATGCACATTAGAATACCCGTACTACAGAATGCATAATCGTGTTAGACTAAGTGCACATTAATGACTGCCAGAATACACATTAACGTAACATAACAGTGCATTTTGGCGCAATGACCAAAATACCCCCGTGTGAAAAATTCAAAGTCCACATGATAATAACAATGTCACCGCCCCTTTAACCAAAGCTGGACCCTTTGATTGTGCCTGAAGGGTTGATATATCACATCAGATTCCTACTATCCATTCTTATTTCTTTCATTATAGCCCGTTCTCATATGATCATATTTCTATGTATATATGAAAAAGCTACAGTCCCGTTACAGAACCATTCCGTCGGGGTTTTAACCGTTAGATACAATCATACACGTGTAGATTAGTGTAGGATAGATAATCTACGGTTAAAAATCCTCACGGAATGGTTTCGTAACGATAGTGCAGTCTTTTCTATATATATATATATATATATATATATATATGTATGTATATATATATATAGGTTGATGAGAATCAGTCAAGCACAGATATCACCTCTAGCCTCCAATAAATGACAACAAGGGTACTCATCAAAATCTGCAGCCAATGCCATACACAACTACTGCTCATGATATTGATAGGCATTGCCCTTGGCTTCATCACCATTTCATACCCAAACAACAACCTCATCTCCCTACCTTTCAAATTCTCCCCAACCGGCCGCCCCAAAACTAAGCCGACCAATCTCAGCCACCTCGTGTTCGGCTTGCTCGCCTCCGAAAAGGCCTGGCCCAACCGAAAATCGTAGGGAGGGGAGGTATCGGGCCTGGCCCATCGGCTTGTTCAACTCCACCCATGGCTTCCTCTTCCTCGACAAACACCCGGGGCCCAACCTCCTGTCTTGGCCCGATACCTCCCCTCCCTACCGCGTCTCGGACGATTTAACAAAATTACTCAACAAGACCAATATCCGGGCCCAGAGGATGGTGCACGGGATAATGGAAGTCGTGAGGGAGCTAGAATTAGTTGACGATAAAGAAGACGATTTCAGATGGGTGGTGATGGGGGATGACGACTCGATTTTCTTCGTTGACAATATGGTCGACGTGCTTAGTAAGTACGACCACGAGAGGTATTACTATCTCGGTGGGAATTCGGAGAGTATAGTGTCGAATTATCTGTTTTTGTTCGACCAGGCTTTTGGTGGGGGTGGGATAATTCTAAGCCGAAAGCTGGCGAAAGCCCTGGCTCGGGACATGGAAAGTTGTCTCAAGAGGTAGTGTTTTTGAACTCTGCTGATAACACCACCAGGGCCTGTATTGCTGACATTGGTGCTAACCTGTCTCCAAACAATGGAAATCACCAGGTGACTATATTTTGATTGCTTCAAATTTTCAGTTCTTGAAGTTATTATAGTGTTTAGATAGCTAGACAATAGTCCACAATTATCTTCCAAACTGAAAAGGACAAGCAGGGGGCCTTCTGTGAAAAGTGATATTTTTCCATAGACTAAGACTAAAGAGTGCTTGTTTGCCTGGTATAGACAAAGTCTTCATCCATATAGTAAGAATAATCTTCCGATTCGAAATTATGTATAATCAAAACCCTTACTTGATCCCCAAAACATGCATTCTCAAATTGATCAATACATATCATTTTAAATAGGGTAGACAAGACAATAGACACTTTTAATCTTGGCAAAATTTCATTTTAGTCTTGTTGGTTCAACGCTATAGCATTTTTAGTCTCAAGATTTCAACTTTTTGTCTTTTGATCCTATAATTTAGTATTTTGCTGCAATTCACTCACAAATGACTGAAATTGCAATGAAATTTAAAATTACAAGACTTAAATTGCGTTGAATTTTAAAATTATAGGACCAAGTAGCAAAATATCTCATTTTTAGGACTAAAAACGCCACTGGATCAATCCAAAAGGACTGAAATTGTAATTTTGCCTTTAATCTTTGGTACAAATAAGTAGAGATGATATTCACGAGTTATTAGACAACACTAAAAAAAGCACATTCATGTATATATATGTTGAAGGTCGATTTACGTGGCGATATATCTGGCATGTTATCATCCCACTCCCTGTCCCCACTCTTGTCCCTCCACCACCTTGACAAGGTGGGTCCCATCTTCCCCAACATGGACCGCCACCTGTCCACACGCCACCTCATGAAGGCAGCTGGCACCGGGCAGTCCCGCCTCCTCCAGCAAACTATTTGCCACAACAGGTTGACTAACTGGACCTTCTCCGTCTCCTAGGGCTACTCGGCCCACATATACGAGAACATCTTCCCCAGGAGCTACCTTCAAAGGCCCATTGAGACATTTGGGATGTGGCTAGCGGGACCAAAGCCCCCGTTCTACTTGTTCAACACAAGGCCACGCTCGCGGGACCCCTGCGTGGCTCCCCACGTCTTCTTCTTCGAGTGGGTGATGCAGGGCCCACATGATGAGGTTCTCACCAGCTATTCCCGAGTGTGGCCACGTGGCATGCCGGCCTGCTCATCCACGGCCAATCGTTCGGCGGATTACGTGCAGCGGATTCAAGTCTTCTCGCCTGCCGTTAAACGGACTCGGGTTAGTTTCTAAATTTCAATAAATACAATGGTCGAGTGAATTGGTCATTTTTTCATCAATTTACAAATGAACAAAAAATTCTTGTTGATATTTAACGTGTGAGCTATTTTTGGCTGCTTATTGGTCTCAGGTGGATAGATGTGAGTGTTGCGACATTATTCGAGTCTACAGCGTTGAGGCAGAGATCAGAATTAGGGAGTGCTCAACAGATGAAATAATCGCTTAACTAAATACCGGCTTATTTACTCGCGCGATTTACTATATATGCATATTTCTGGATTTAACTCTGTGTACATAAAATACATAAACATATTTATTTGAAGCATTATATATTTTTGTCATGCGGTTCGTAAAATGGTCTGTTACAAATATTTTGTTTGGACAACATATCTATTTATATCTATCTATACTATTATATTATCTATTTATATTTATCTATCTATCTATGTATCATATGAGAATGGTAGATAGTGAAAGAAATAAGAATAAATCTGTACCATTGGATCCAACATATCAATGGTCACGATGAAGTCAAATTTCTTAAAAAATAGTCAAACAGTCAATAGCAATATCGTAAATAAGTGTCGTAGTGCCCCATTTGTTTTAGACGAGTTAGCATATTCTATATTATTTATTTATTCGCTTCGCTTTTATTTTAGTCGTAGTGCTCGACAATTTTTTCTTGTTAAGCTTATTAGAATTAAATAGATGTTCTCGTCTATTTAATCTTTCTAATTAATTTATCTAATAAAAAATCAAGATTTAAGATGATGTCCTTGTCTTCTTATTTCATATTTTTGTGCTCTTGCTTATTTAAAATTGTTCCTAAGTGCTTAAATTGTTATTGTTTTTCCTAAGTGTATTAATTGTTTATCTTATTTTATTTTTCCTAAAGCTCCGTTTGTTTTGAGAGATTTACTGAAGGATTTGAAATCCATAGATTTCAAATTTACAAGTTCAAATGCTCATGTATGTTGGGATGATAATGGAAGTTGGAGAATTTCAAATTCATGCTAAATGTTTTTTTGGTATTATTTTGAAGGATTTGAAATGACTCCTCAAACATAGTCATTTGAAATCCACTGTTTATCACCGTTAACGACCACGCCGTCTGCGATCATTTAAGTTCATCACCACCGCGAGTCAACACCATCGGTGCGAGCTAGACAATTGATTTATAATATTTTCAACACATCTTTTCAAGGAGTGTTCAAGTAAAAAAATTTATATTTCAAAAATTTTGAAATTAAGGGATTTCAAATCCCTCAAAACAAACGAAACCTAAGTGAATTTTGGTGCTAAGTGTTATTTTGAGATTTGCCTAAGTAGTATTCTTGGCCCTAAGACCCTATGCTCGGCCCAATTGATTAAATTGAATAATCCTTAGAACTCCCGTCCCAATTTAATTGTATAAATCGGCGCAAATAACTTAGTCCACGCCTTATACCAATCCTTATATCGAACTTAGTCGGGTTGAGAGTGGTTACCCGTATTACCAATTTTTCATTTGAGAAATAAAAATTAACGTTTATACAATTAAAAAATTTATATATTAATCCGTAGTCAACGGACTACGGGCCAGTTCCGTGTCGGTTTCGGACTGACTTGTGGTCATGTCTAACCGCGAGTAACACCTCGTGTGTGCGTGTGATATATTTGTTTCCAAAACGGCTAAACTAATATTACCTCTTATTCCTTTTAAATGTCATTTTGGTTTTATCAACTATTAACCAAAATAAATGTCGTTTTGGATCTTTTGTACATATTTTTCCATTATTACCCTCATTTAGTTAATAAATACACTACGTCTTTTCCTATTATCTTCATCTTTTTTTAAAACATCCATCTCTATCTTCATTAATGAGAGTTATTATTGGCAAAAAAATTATTCTTAATTAATGTACAACTTCCCAAAACGACACTTAAGCTATGTTTGGTAAAACGAGCTGATAAGCTAGCTTATAGCTTATCAGCAATATTTTAGCTTATAGCTTATAGCTTATGACTTATAGCTGAAAAACTAGCTTATATGATAAAAGTGTTTGGTAAAATTAGCTGATAAGCTAGTTGGAATAAAACATTCAACTAGCTTATTTGAAAAGCTGCATAAAGAAACTTATCAAATAAGCTCGAACTTTTTAAAAAAGCCCGTCCTACCACACGAGGTTTATTTAAATACAGAGAGTTTATAAGCTAGCCAAATAAGTTATAAGCTAGCTTATTTGTCTACTAAACATAGCCTTATTATGAATATGAGGGAGTACTTAATTTTATACTACGCAAAGCTGTTTATTATTTGTTAAATTTAATTTATGAAGCAAATAAGTTGTGTTATACGCAAAGTAGACGTTCCTTAGGAATGCAACATATTTCGTTTACCTATGTTTACACTTAAATTAACCACACTTCTCTTAACTGGCATGTGACTTAAGCAATGTCGCGTTTACCGGTAAAATTGGTACACGAAATTAGAGTAAATTGCATGTTTTAGGCTTATTGCATTAATATATGTCTCGATAGATTATACGTTGAACCTTATGTTTCTCAATGAAAACATAATATAGCATTTCTTTTCCTATCTGGTAATATTCATAATTCATTGTAACATATTCATAGAAAGATCGTGATGAATACATTAAACTTAAGGAAAAGTCTACAATCCCGTCACGGAATAATTTCGTGAGGGTTTTTAGCCATTAGATATATATGGAAGTTACATGTATATCTAATGGCTAAAAACCTCACAGAATCATTCCGTAACAGGATTGTAGTCTTTTCCTAAACTTAGTCCAATGCACAATAGCGTTGACAATTTAACTTTTTCAAATTTAGAACAGAAATCTATATATATATAAAGAGGAGAAACAAAACATTTAATTTTATTATCATGCATTAAATTTTATTCTCCCTCTAAAATTTTAAACATTCAATTTCATTTTCAAGTTACAAAATAACTTGCTTGAATGCCATAAATTATGAGCATAAACTAATCAAGGGAGTTACAAAATTATACTCAAATTTTAAGTCACACCCACTCATGAAAATGGTCGGGTGTATTAGCATAAAGAAAATGGTTGTAACGGCTCTTCCATAGCAATTATTTGATCAAAATCAATTTTGAGAATTATTTTCTTAATTCATATTTTTTTTCATGAATTAAATTATGATTTATTTCTGTTTTTTTTATATTTTATGTTTTTAAAGTATTCGTCTTTGTGCAAATGCACAGGTTGATTACTAGTATAATTTACATTATAACAATGCCATTAATCCATATACTATTGGCACAAACTGGACATAACCACTACAAAAAAGAATGTCATATTCTAACGAAAAATCTTACGTAATATATTTCAATGGAAATTTCATAATTAATATCCCAATGTTATAGCTTCTGTTGGAATTATTCCAACGAAAATTCTAACGGAATTATTCCGTTAGAATGAGTTTTCCATTAGAATTTAGATTGAAATTTGATCATTCCAACGGTTATTATTCCAAGGGTTTTTTACCGCATGAATTTTCGTTAGAATTTTTATTTTCAACCATATTTAAACCATTGGAAAATATGTCATTGGAATTTGCTATCGGATGTAAACCAACGGATTTTAATGCACTTTAAAACGTGCTAAAAAACATTTGTATAAATTTCCTAACATTTTTTGCTAAATATAAACCTATTTTCTATTTTCATATTCCGCTTTGCAAGGTAACTATGTAGTTACGAATCTAGGAATTTTACTTAGGGGGGTCCGGTTTTAAATGTTAAATAACGAACTTATAATTTAAGTCGAAACGTTCATTTCATATAAAAATGTATTTACTAGTAAATATAAATATCGATATGTGTATCATCAATTTTTTAAAATATTATAATTTGTACCCTCAAACTTCTACAAAAAAAAAAAATGATCGAGATTATATAATTTAAGTTCAACATCTATAATTTATGAAAAAAATAAGTTTTCTGGTTGAAAATTTGAATTAAATTAAACATTTGCAGCACATTGCATATCATTTTGTTGATGAAAGTTTATCAAATGAGCATTTTTTTAAGACAAAGGTAGATAAAGTTAAAAATATGTGATTGTCACAAAAAAAAGTAAAATAATCAACATTAAAAAAACTAACAATAACAACTCGATTTTATAAATTACTAAATGGATTTACAATTAAGAGATTAAAAGAGTAAATCATTGTAAATATTTTTAAAAATTTATCTAAAAATATAAAATATAAGTACTGTTAGTAAATTCTTCAATAAATAAATATAATTATTAATTTAAATTAAAATAGAATAGAAAAAAGTTTTTAATTATAAATATATTTGTAAATTCTTTGATTTTGTATATATATTTTATTTATAGTATTATATATATATATATTAATTTTTTTAAGAAATGAGGGGGGTCCACGCCCCCCTGGGCGGCTCCGTCATTGTAACTATGGAATGCAATTAATGTTTTATTTTTCTTTTTTATATCAAGTATTTTGAACTATACCATTTTTGTTATGTAATTAATAATTTTGAGGGGAAAAACATCCAAAATTGGATTTAATTTTATTCTTATTACTAGTACAACACCCATGTATTATAGGGGTGCTTGTTAAAAATTTATTCTTAAATTTTAAAATTGATTAGAAAAAATGTTTAAATATTTAAATATTTTTAATTTTACAAAAAAACATATATTATTATATATCTTAGAATGACACTTGTTACTTGTGAGACTTACATGTTACTTGTGAGACTTGTTACTTGTGAGACTTACATGTGTTATTTATAATAATTTTTCTAATTTATATCATATAACTTATTGAAACATAAATATATTAATTGATATATAATTTTATTTATCTAATTAATATTAACAATAATTTTATTATTATTATAAAGATAAATATAATTTATTTATTTTATACATACAATATGGATGTTAAATTGAAGCTCGTCAAGAGATGATTAATATTGATATACTATATACGAATTATTAAAAAAAATACAAAAGTTATTAACATTTAAAATGCATTTATAATTCAGTGGTTATAATGAAAATTATATTAAAATGCGATTAATCTATGAAACATGACCAATCAACATATTTATAAATAATCCGAACCTAATTATTTTTGGATTGAAAGTAAATTAAAATCTATCCAAACTAAATAATGAAGCATGTAATTTTGCCACATAGGATCCGAGGCATGAAAGTCTGTCACTTAGACTCAGGACATTCGAGAATTATATATAATGGGGATATATATATATATATATAGATTTTACATGAAAAAAATTAGAGGCTCGAATTAATATATAAATAAGTGAAAAATGGAATTTTAGTTTTATGACTAGCACGTATGATATTGGTACCTTC